CTTCTCTCTTATACTCTCTCTTATACTCTTATACTCTCTTATTTATACTTTCTAATCCTTTCATCAAATGGCTTCCGGATCTGATTATGAAGAGCAAAACCTATCTCCCGATCCTGAAATGAGTCCTCCTACTGGGTCTAATCCTACCGAAGTTAATCCCGAATCCGGTGGCGACGAATCTGCACCAAGAGCTCCTAAAAGGCCAAGATCCGATGTGTGGAATTTTTACGAGAAGATCGACGTCACCAAGGAGGAACACGATAGGATCCTCACCCAGAAGGCTAAGTGTGCATTGTGCGGCAAGATTTTTCAAGCTCATCATAAGAGCGGCACAGCAGGTCGTTTGATCGACGATCACAGGACATGCTTGGATCCGTATACTGTACAAACGGTGATGTGCTTACAAGATTTGTGAAGGTACGAGAAGCGAACGCAAGGCATCGATCGGATGGCTGGAATTGAAGATAAATTTGAAGAATTGAGACTAGCAGATAGATATAAAGAATAGATTGTAGTTTTTATATCTTAGCTTAAAATTTGTAAAGAATTATTGTAGTTTTTATATCTTAGCTTAAAATTTGTAAAGAATTATTTTGGAAATAATTGCAAATGATAGTTATAAAGGTGAGTAGGTGCCAACCTAGTTGGGATTTACTTATCTATTGTGATGCGATTAATTCCAAAATAAATTTGTACTTATAATTTATAAATTATTTATTAATTATTAATAAAGAATTTGTTTTTATCAGTTTTTATTTTTAATTTATGTCATTTTAAGTAATTAATAAAATTATTGTTTTTATTATTTTTCTTATTTTTTTAATTTAAAATTTAAATAAAATTAAAAAATTTTGGAAAAAAAATTTAAAAAAATAAAAAAAAATAAAAAACACCCGGACCAGCCCGGAACCCGGCCCGGTCGGGCCCGGGACTCGGTTTTGCCCGGCCCGGGCCCGGATTTCCGAGTCGGGCCGGCCCGGATGGACAGGCCTACAGTTACAGCTTCTATCTCCACAATGAACATACCATAAATATACAGTAGCCTAAAGATGTGTTTGGCAACTCGCTAAAACTGAGACAAATTTAAACTTGATCTAATTTTATGTTGCTTTGTTGATTAGTATGAACTGGTCCAGAAGTGAACCAATTTATGATAGTTCATTTTTGGGCCTTTAAACTTGTTTAGTTGTGGACCAAGGGGGTGTTAGTCGACAACTAAACCAGTTCCTTTCAAAAGGGTTTAAGGAACAAGTGTGATCCAATTTTAATGAGTTCCCAAACACACCCTAATAATTATTATCTTCATCCAGCAGTCATTTTATCAGAGAAACAAGGATGGAGTCAATGAGACACTACACCATAATATCATTACAGGGAAAAGCAGCAGCTCTCAGAAAATGATACACATCAGTCATTCTAAGTTACAACATCAAAATATAACCCCGTCAATCTAAATAGAGGGTCAATTGCACGTAGGCCATTGTAGTATTGTCGTTTTCAATTTACTACCCTTACAGCTTCATCATTGCAGATAGGCCCCTAGGTTAAATATTTTGGACTCTTTTACCCTCACTCACTAATTTCATCCAGATTTCAGCCTGAAGCCATACCTGCTGAAACTTTACAAATGGTAAACAAGTCAAAAAATTTAACATAGGTGTCTATCAACAACAATAGTCCATGGGTAGCAAGTGCAAAACAGTAATACTACAGGGGTCTACGAGCAATTAACCCCTAAATATATGAAATCTAGAAAATAAAAGCTGAAAACTCGTTATAACTTACAAAAACTGAGTTTTTCTAATTAACCGACACTTTCATAGGCTTCTACATCAAGAACAATTGAATTCCTCCAAAATCATTGAGAATGCTTCTGCCCCATCCACATCCTTCACTTCCACAATGTACTTCAAAAGCTCATTTAATTTCTCTTCACCAGGCTTCAACCCCTTTGATTTCATAATATTCAAGTACTTCAAAGCAAAATCCATCTCATGTCTCTTCAAGTAATAATCAAGGAACATCTCCAACATTTTCAGGTCATTTCCATCGCCCTTCTCTAGGGCCTTAACAGACTTCTTCCACAGTAACTCCGCATCTTCAACCATGTCATTTTTTAGATAAGCATCTACGACTACATTCACCAATCTCACATCAAAAGAAACGTAAGTTGATTCCCACTCTTGAAAGCAATTCTTTAGACCATCTACATCACCGAGCTTTTTAAGAGCATGGAGCACACACAAATAGCTCATGTTGTTAGCCTTAGTAAAGCCATCCTTCAGTAATTTCCACATCCTCTTGACCTCTGATAAATTACCAGCACTTGCATATAAAGATATGATATATTCGTAAGGGGCTCGATTATGACGGTTCATAGTTTCCTCGGCTTTTTGAAGAACAGAATTTGATTTATCGAACAATGCTAGTGAGTTATAAAAGGTAGCCAGACTACAATATATGGTCCAATCTGGAGAAACTTTACCTCCTTCTTTCATTTCCTGTACAACTCTTTCAACAGAGTCTACATCATTCAATGAAGCGTAGCTATTTATTAGAAGGCCATATGCAACCCTATCTAGAAACAAACCATCTTGTTTCATTTCTTGAAAATGGGAAATTACCTTTTCGGGCTGGCCTAGCTTCATGTAGAGAGTCATGAGATTAGTACTGACCAAAGTGCTTGTAGCGAAATTCAATTCTTTCATCTCCTCATAGAGAGCAAGAGCTTTGTCTGCCATTTTTTCCTGGCAATAACTAGATAAGAGGGCTGAAAAGGTTTTCTGATTCTTTGTGGATTTTGGAAGGTTGAAGAAGTAATCTTCGGCTGCTTCGATTCCCTTGACTTTTGATATAAGATCAAGACGGACTGCATGGTTGGTAGTAGAAATGGTCATACCATTTTTTTCCATCCAATCTAAGAGCTGTTGAGGAAATAAATTAAATACCAGCAATAATGACTTCCGGATTTGCTCAGAGAAATCATCTTCATTTTGAATTGCTTGCACAAGAGATGACAGAAAATCAAAAAAAATAAAAATAAAAATAAAAGGAGTTGCAGATAGACCCTCTGTACTATCGCCAAATTGAACTTACTGCCCATGTAGTTATATTGTTGCGCATAGACCTCTGAGCAAAAAAAATTTGACCCTTTTCAGGGCGTATATCTGCAACAATGATTTTCACTGAGGGGGTCTATCTGCAACAATAGAACTCTTTCTGGGGTCAATCTACAACGATAAAACTACAGGGATAGTAAGTTCAATTTGGGGATGGTAAACAGTTAACCCAAAAAAAGAGAAATTTTTTAATGTTTATATTAACAGATGGCTCCACCTATTATGAAGAAATCAACTCATTGTGGTATTTGAAGTGACAAAAGAACAATTCAATCATTGAGATAAAGCCATTTATCAAAAGATATACGCAAAGGAAAGTTTGTATATGCTTTTCTGCTAAGTAGCAACCATTATATGTCAGTTTCAACTCAAATTTCCCAATAAACAATAATATCACTTCCTATGCTTGGACATGGAATCTTTAACAAAGTCATTGATCCATTTAGTTAATTTCCTTAACGATTTAGCAAACTGTAGGATGATAATAAATCCTAGTACATTTCTGAAATGTAAAATAAAATACATGAAGAATTCCTTTGCTAAACATGCCACGAAAGTATGGCAGCATATTAAAATATAACATGTCTAATAAGATATATGGTGAAATGACCACCAGAATTAAAGCAAAACAGAAAGAACAATGAACCATAGGAAAACGATTGCTTTAAGAAGTTTCTAGGTGGATACAATTCTTGGTCACATAGTAACATTCATGGTAGTTAACTAAAAAGCTTCATCCAGGGTAGGTGACATGGAAAATCAGTGAATACTGAACATTTTATGCTCCCTAAGTTTATATCAAACTGTAGCTAATGATAGACAAGCCCTCCTATCCGGTTAGTCCATTGAAAGAGATCAAACAAAACATTTATCCAACTAAAGTAACCTTGTAAATGATGACATGGTCTGGTTGGTCCAAGCTCCCGACATTTTTCTCATCCTAGAGCACGCATGCTAGACACCCTCATTTTCATCCGATTTGTTTACCCCTCCATTAGAAATCTGGTTTGGAAAGTTTCGTTGTTAGGATTCATTTTGATCCATTTTGCTCCGAGCTCAAAATTTTAAAATAGCATCGAGCCTCTCGACCATTGGTCAGAACGCGCCGCATTCAACACGATCTACTCCCGCATCTCTACCTACTTCGAAGTACATGCCACGTCATTTGCCCACACGCGGTGCATCTGCGCAAATGTTCGGCCACAAATATTTTTGTAGGGCGTCTTCGGATAGGAGTGGTCGGCTGCTGTTATAACACCACGTAACTGTTGCATAGCTAGACAGGCCAAAAAATGAGGAGTAGAAACCAATGGTGTCGTAAAAATGCATTTTTTTTTCTTCCAACTACTCCTAATCAAACTAATGGTGTTGTCATCTCTCAATTCATAAAAATAAAAAATAAAAATTCAAGGCATTCGGGTTTCACATGCCTACAGTGTATGATTCACTACCACTACGGGGGGGGGGGGGAGAATGGTCATTTGATCACCTCGAGAGCGTGCTTGAAATCCCTGTACTTTCGAAGCTCTCTCACGAACCCCATCACGGCGGAGCTCGTCACCGACTTTCCCCTCGTTCATCCAGCTCTCCAATCGTCGCGTCCACCGACCCGCTCGATCCGATCGCAGGCCCGATAACCGCCGGTAGAGAGCCGTCGTCTCCTTCCTCTTCGCCGCCGCGCCGCCGCATCCGGTGGGCCGCCCCGGTGGAGAGCGTTCTGGCGATGGAGGTTAAGGAGGATAGGGCTCGGATCCCGTGCTTCGCTGATGAGATCGACATTGATGAATATTTTTTTTTTTTGCCCTCTCTGGAGATTTTGAGGGTTTTGAGAGGGCTCCAGCGACGGAGGAGGAATGAGGAAAGGGGGCATCCGTGGGTACGGGTCGGATCAAAGCCCAGTGAGTTATCGGATCCAAATTTACGTTTTTGTTTTGTTTTTTCTCCCCCTACCTACCCTCATTTTAACACGGGTCCATTGGTGTAATTTAAAGGACTTAGGGGGGTCTTCTGTTATGAATATATGTTTTCAGGACCTATGACAAAATCAACACGATCTGGAGGATCAATCTAAGAAAAACTCAAACTTGGTCACAGCTGAATTGTGATTTTTTTATGGCACCTTTGGCGCACACAGAAATCCAGCCCAACACCCCAAGAGCGAGCGACACGGCTTTGTCGTATTACCTATGTAGGCTGTCAAAAAAAATTACTACAGCTTGATCATCATGATTTCAATCACCTCTGTGTTCCTCAGTGATGAGAGTTACAATTTGACGACTCTCATATTTTAAAAAACTAAATGCAAAGATTACAAAATGACGATCTTTGTAGAACTTGAAAAAGAGATTACATTTAACGATCTCTTCAAAGCAAAACGTGAGGGTCATCCCCGCGTTCTAACTCCAAAACACGAGGGCCACCCTCGCGTTCCAATTTCAAAACGCGAGGGTCACCCCGCGTTCCAATCCTAAAACGCGAGGATCACCGTCTTGTTTCACAAAGCTGAACGCGAAGCTCGCTCCAGAATGCGAATCTCACGTTTGACCGTTTCAATGGCAATTTGAATGGTTCAAAATCGTTTTCCACATAATGGGGTCATTAAGCCCCCATTATGGAGAGATTTATGGGGTCAATTACACCCCTAGATCTTTATAAATAGTTGAGAATTCAGCTAAGCTTCTTGAAACCACTAGCGAGCGAGAGGCTTCTTGAAACCCTAGCGAGCGAGCGATGCTTAGAACTGGTCTTGGTAGATCTCAGGAGTTTCCATCTATCTTCAATCAAAATGGGATAGTTGATCCTCACAAAACACCGACGATGAAAATTACAATCTGACGACTTACACCACAACAGACGAGAGTTACAATTAGATGACTCTCACATTTTTAGAATCCAGAGTACGAGGGTTACAAGATGACGACATTTGTATTCCAAGAAGACTTGATGCAGATGTGGCACAGATTACAAATTGACGATCTTTGTGTCTCCTAAGCCAAACATGATCCTCGCATTTCAACATCTAAACGTAGAGGTCGACCCCCGTGTTTCAACAGCTAAACGCGGAGGTCACCCTCGTGTTTCAAAAGCCAAACGTGAGGGTCCACCCTCGCGTATTGAAGCTAGAATGCGGACGTCATGTTTGACTATTTCAAATTACTTGAACGGTTACCCACTTAATGGGGCAAATAAGCCCCTATTATGGAGCGAATTAAGGGGTCAGTTGCATCCCTTAAACCCTATAAATAGCTGGTTTTACAGCTAAAAAAGGATCAGAGCTTTTGAGTTGGAGCTTTTAGATCATTTGGGTTGGCTTTTTGAACCATCTTTGGTTAAAGATCTTTAAGATCGGCGATTGCCTTAAGATGAAAGCCATTGGCTTACTTCAGATAAAATGACTGAAATTCCTTTCCGAAATTAACTCTTTCGCAGAGTTCTTAAACTCATTTAGAGTTCTAAACTTGCCTGGCAAGTTCTTCCTGACGTTAAGTCAAGAAGAGTAGACAAAGTTCCACGAAGCGAGATGTTCGGATCGTCAACAAGATAGAAGAATCAAACTCTCATCACCACCAAGAATAACCCGGTCTTAAACAAAAAGGAGGATCCGCCCTTCTCTCTTTTGTAAATCGGGAAACCGATAAAAAAAATTTATAATTTTTTTTTCTAAATCAGTTAGAGAGAAGTTACTTTGAGAGATATATTCATTCTTTTCCTAAGTCAGTCAGGGAGATAAATACAAATTTATTTCTCAATTTTCTTGCAATTTTTCCCGCAAACAACCTACTAGGCCACCCCGAATTGTGATTTACTTATCGCATATTGTTGCAATTGCAAGTACAATTTTAACCTAACGAAGGTATTTTATAGTCGCAGTTACAAAATATTTCAACTATTGCAGTCGTATATATAAACATAATGTTTTTCCATCAAAAAATAAAATAAAATAAAATAAAGTAAAATAAAATGATGTTTTCCAAAAACCAAATTAAGATCAAATTAATTGCAATTTGTTTTTTGTTTAAATAACCACTTTTTATAACGACAACAAAACTTTATGGAAAAGACTTCATAATAACTTCCAGATTAGAATTACAGTTGCAAGGCTTTGTGTGCCAAAAAGCTCCTAAAAATAACTAGATACCTGCAGAAACTGATACCCAAAGTGGTAAAACTCAGTAGCCAAGTCAAATATACAGCACCACAAGAACAAAACTTACATTATCAATGTATGGAAGCTTAACATTGCGAAGATATCACATCATTTCCTCTTAATTTCATCCTCTCCGCAATTTTCAGGCACAGAGACCTATTAGCCCTTGGTACAAAACCAGGAAATTTGACAAAATATTTAAGATCCCGAGTTCCCCATGAAACCAAATTCACGGAGGCAGCGAAGAAATCTACGGCGTAAATTCTAGTTGCGCCTTTTCTTCTCGGTGATGGGAGTACCGTTCTTTTCTGTGATGATCTTTAATACATTGACCACAGCTCTAAGCCTGTCCCACACATTCATTCCATACAGAAGTTCAACAAGTGACTCCTGAAACTCGAAGCCATTCTCTGCAATAGGATACTGTACGATGCCAGAAGGAACACATGAGACGTATTAGCATAACTCGAGGTGAAATTGTATGATGAAAAAGGTTATATATTATAGAGTGACCTGGATGGGCTTCGGGATAACTGTTTTGATGTAAGGCCAGAATCTGTCCTCAACCACTGACTTCACTAGACAGCAAGACCGCAACCCTTCAACTCCAGCAAATCTTCCAAATCCACTGTGTTTAACACCGCCAAATGGCAAGGACTGAAGAGAAGGTAAATAAGCAAATAATCAGAACGTTTAGATAAAATCTTTACATTAATTTTTGAAAAATATAGATAATAGAAATGAGTCATGATACTTCAATGTATGTCATGTGTATAAGTTTAAAAACTAAACAAAGGAAGGGGGGATAGGAGTATTGCCAGTAACTGGGAGAACAGCGACTAATTCAAACAGGAAATCAGATAAACAGCAACTAATTCAGATAACTTTGTGATGTTACTTTGTGTCTTTTTTTAAGGGTAATATATCCTTAGAAGTAAA